AAAAATTCAAATGATTTATCTTCAACACAAATCAATGGACGAAATAAATTAAAAATACCATTAAAAGAAGTTTTAATTGAAACAAAAAAAACAAGAATTATTTCTTAGTATGTTTTTCGTGGTGACCTTTGTTTTTTTTTTTTTTTTTTTTTTTCAATAAAATTTTTTATCATCAAGAAAATGTTATTGATATTCAGTAAAAAAAAATTGATGTTCTTTTATCCAATGTTTAGCACGTCGACGACGATCACATTCATTACTAAATATAGAATCATCATCAACTAATTCTAAATCATCTTGTTGTTGATATGGTTTTGTTTTTTTTGTTTCAATTAAAACTTCTTTTAATGGTATTTTTAATTCATTTCGTCCATTGATTTGTGTTGAAGATATATCATTTGAATTTTTTGTTGGTGTTGATAATGCAACACCAGGAATTTTACTATGTTGTCGATATTCAATTAAACGTGTTTGTGCTCGTCGATATTGATCACTATTTAATAAACGACTTATGGAACCATTATCATGTTCTAATTCAGATGGAATTTGTAGTTCACGATAAGATAAAAAATCTTTATCATTAATAAATGTATTTTCAATTGATTGACGATTTGCTTGTTTTTGAAATAGAAGGTAATTTAGGATAATGATGATTATCAATAAGATATTGTTCAAAATGACGCTCAATTGATGATGGTACACGAGGAGAAAGTGGTTGTAAATGAGGAAATCGACGATGATGGAATTGGCGTGGAGAAACGGTTGATTCGTCTATCGTAGCCATGAAAAATGATGACAAACATAAAAACTTTGACAAAGGTAACAATATAAATGGAATTATTATACATATTGATCATGACAACAAAGAATAGAAAAAAAAATTTCAATTAATGTAAACATTTTTTTTGACAAATAAGAATTACATCGAAAATAAAATATGTTTTTATATATAATATAAATGTTGAAACAATTATTTGATAGTCAAAGTAACTTGAAAAATCAAATGTGTTTTCTTGTTGTTGATGCCGAATAACATAAAAATGCATAATTATAAAACTAGAATAGTTTTGTATTGAATCAAAAACGAATCATTTATGCTAACAAAACAGAAAGAAAACTCAACCAAAAGGAATACATATATCAATATTTAAAAATATATGAAATTTAAATAATATTATAATACAATAATCAATTGAATTTGATATTCTAAAATTCATATTAATTTAATATCTAAAGAATGAATGAAATGAAAATATGTAATCGATGACAAATATCTTTCTTTCAAGAGTAATAAAGAGAGGACAGAAAAACAAAGAAAAAAACAATATATATATACAATAATTAATTTTTGTCCGATGATGAAGGTACAAAAGGTCCTTGAGAAAGAAATCCAAGTCCAACACCACGTCGTAAATGTGTTGTTATTCGTGCTGTTTGATATTCTTTATCAAGTGAATCAAATGTATTTTGTTGTTGTTGATTAATAGCATTTGTTTCTGTTGTATCATTATTTGTATTTCCACTTGTTTTCATACCTAATAATTTTCGAAATTTTTCAGCTGTTTTTTCATCTTGTCCATCTGTTATTGCTGCACCAACTTTACTTGTTGATGTCTAAATAACAAAAAAAAAAGAAGCAAAATAAGAAAATCTTTTCTGTTTTTTTTTTTTTTTTTTTTTTTTTTTTTCAAAATACTTTATCATTTGTTTTTGACCAAAGTAATTTACGTTTACGTTGTTGTTGAGCATATTGAAGTGGATTAACTGCACCAGTATTGTAAATTTTTGGAATTGATATACCAGTTAATTCTTCAATCTAATCAAAACATAAAACATAATGCTTATATGTAAATAAATAATGATCCATACTAAATTATATCTATATGACCTTCAAGTACTTAGAACGATCTATTAATGGACATTATCTATTTTAATAATAATGATAATTAAAATCTCGAAATAGACTAATATTTTTTGCTTATAAAATTTAAAGATCGTTTGTAACGTACATACAAATTATACAAAGAGCTACATAATATATAGAGAGTGTGGGTGTGGCCATCTTCTGTACCCATAACCCTAATTATCATGTTACTTTTGTTTATATCACTAATATTAAAAGAGATAATGTCAGTTAAGACATCTTCCTAAGTACATGAAGGTCATGTAGATATATTAAGGTACGAATCTGTCTTTGTTTACAGATAAACTAATTTACGTTGAGATCTAAAACTGATGGGGTGTCCTTTATCTTTAATATGACTGCGCTTTTGCGTCTATTTAATTATGTTTTCGTTGTAATATGATATAGATCCTATTGAGTAATTTTTTCGAATTAAGAAAATGTGTTTTCTATAGCATAGAGCGCAAAAAAAAAGAGAAGATTGATAACAAGATCAATGATTTCGACATTTGGCCATGTAATAATTCTTAGAACATTAGGTCAAAGACGACCTTTTTCTATGTAGACAGCGTAGGTTCTTTTTCATTCGACGCATGAGTCTTACTTAGTTTTTATTTTTTGACTCTATCCAAAATGATGATTACGATTCATAGAATATAAAGTAAAATTTTCGAAAATGGCCGAATTTAGATCTAAAACTTACATTGTTAGATTCAATTGAGAAACTTGTACTTGATTATATCTAACAATAGTAGCTAATAGAACATTCACAATTATTATGAAGAATTGTTCGAAGTGTGATTTTTTTACATTACTTTTAGTATATATGCGCGAAAGTTTAGCCTAGTATTTGCATATTTCAAACATTAAATTTAAGATAATTCTTAAAAAGTAATTTTAAATGCTTTATCAGAAATCATTGATAGATTTTATCGAATACAAAATACAGATCTCTGAAGTAGTTCAAATTAACCCTAAATAAATGCGAAAACCTCGGATTTAAATCCGAGTGTTATGTGTACTGCGAAAAGTGAAGAGATATATTCACTGTTTTCTATCAACTGAGCCATATTTAGCCTATTTGCATTTTGCATGCAGTTTTTCTGCATTTTGAGNCAAAACTTACACTCACTATTTCCTTAGAAAATATACATGAGTTCCACAAAACAGACTTTTGGGAGCAATCAGTTTTCAATATCATTCCTGTTCGTGGTTCTCGGAAGACACTAATTACTCTGTTATGAATAAGGGTGTCAATTTATATTTACTTTTCATTTAATTTACGCGTAAATTAAATGATACATAATTTATATTTATTATAAAGTAAACGGTAAATGACACCCCTACTATTTGATAAGTTTCGTTTTTTGCATGTTATAGAGGTTTCATGTAACTTCTGTAAGGTTTTTTGATACGCATGGAATCTGCCTCTTGAAGTCCTGTGAAGTCTTGCGAAGTTTTATGAAGTCTTATGAAGTCTTATAATGTCTCAAGAAGTCCTACAAAGTCTCTGAAGTCTCATGAAGTCCGTGAAGTTTCATGAAGTCCGTGAAGTTTCATGAAGTCCGTGAAGTTTCATGAAGTCCGTGAAGTCATACGAAGTCTTATGAAGTCTTGAAGTCCGCTGTTTCCCCCTTGATTTAACTATAATCTTCAATTCTGGTGACTGGGAACTAAAATTAGTCTCAGGTATTTCTAGTTCGGATTCAATGATTGACTTTTATTTTTTTTTTCGGTGAGAAAAAGACACAGACAACGATGAAATCGATACAGTAAATTCAACTTTTCTTTCAAATTTATCTTCCAAGTACTTAAAATTACTATTTGAAGGAGACGGTTAGATTATATTATTCGGGTGTATAAGATTGTACCTCTGTAAATTTTACACGAACATATTTAAAATGAATAAATAAACTTGAAAAGCAGTATCGAAAAGTATAAAATTATTTTTCACAAAAATAAACATTCGAAATTTTAACAGTTTTTCTCTATTAAATAATGACACCTATAAAAAAAAGGGAAAGAAATTGGTCGTCTAAGATTTGAATATCAAATTTTTAAACTTCAAGTCTACTCTAGACATAATACATCATGGTTATACAACATACTGAATCTTCCTAATAAATCATAGATTAAAAGCATTAATATTCTTTTCTTCACCTAAGATCACTGCGTGAGTTGCATGTTCAATTAGATTTTCGAAAGTTTGAATATCCTTTTTTTTCTGATTTTCTCATAATAATTGTATTACAATTTTACTCTGAATAAATTTTTGTTTCTTTGTTTTAGCTAAACGTATTCATCGTTTTCTAATGACAGGTTCCAATAGTCGTTTTATTCCTGATGGATTTAAAGAACAAATGTATTATACAAATATGTTTCGTTTACTTTTTCGTTTTGATATGCCTGAACATGTTATGCCATTATGGGAATCTGTTGTACCAAATATATATTCACCATCAATAAATATAATTGAAGATTTAATAGAATTTATTTCAACATGGAATATAAAAGATTATTATGTTCGTTTATGGTCTGATTTACTTCTATTAGGTTTTATTGATAATAGACAAAATAATCGTCGAATTATAGAACGTTATTTAACATTACTTATACGTAGTGATCAAGATAATTTATCAAAAGAACAATTAAAACAATATGCAAATATAGCACGACAAATTTTAAAACGTTTTCCATTAATACCTGATGAAGATGAACAACAAATGGGTAATATACCTAATGATCAACAACAAACTGATGAAGAACAACAACAACGAGCAAAACAATTAAAACAACTTCAACCAAAATTTCAATATAGTGGACAATTATTGTCAAATCTTATTTATTTATTAACACGTGCTGATGATTTTGAAGCTAGTTGGTCATTATATGAATATTATTTATTAAATAAAAATATACTTATTAATCCATTAAATGAAATAAGTCTTATGTCATTATTAACATTATCAATAGAACAAAATCATATTGATCATTCATTAAATATAGTCGAAAGAATCAATGAACTTAATTATGAATGTTTAAGTAATGCACTTGATTTATTGAATCGTAATGGTAATTTAGATAATAAAGATAGACAACGTTTACGAACAATACAAAAAAACTCATCTTTAGAAAGTGCACATCTTGTTAAACTTGTTTAGAATATTTCCAAATAAACGAAAACATAACATGCACCTTTTTTTCTTCCAGCCGTTTCATGTAATAGATAAAAATGAGTTTGTGATGCCGTGTTTCTTTTTCTCGTTCTGTTTGCTTCATTCCTACTGGCTGCATCTACTCTAAACGATTACGAATCAGTGACTGTGTTTATAAGCGAGAGGGTAAGAGGGCAAGACGGATGGTAGCAACACCAAACATTTTGCATGCATACATAACAAAATGATCGTCATAGAACGGGCAAAAACACGACGTCAATAGACATATTTATATGGGCAGTAGTAACAAAAAAAAAGAAAAAGGAAAAATGACGAAAAACCACACTGAAAACTGACGCATCTTTAATGATGACATTTTTTTCTTTTTTGTTTGTGGCTATCAGACCTTTGACTCGTAGTTTATCATGCAATACAAAGCTTAATCATGCGAATGTACTTCTACAAAAACAAAAAAAAAGTACGAATATTAACATTCGAATATTATTTTAGTTTTAGATTTCAGTGTGTGTATGCGTGTATATATCGATCATGACATCGTCGATAAGTGATTTTTATGAAGGAAAAAATATTATTGTATTTGGTTCAATAACATTTCCTGGTAAAGTTTTAATTGAAAAACTCTTACGTTCATGTCCAAATATTGACAATATCTATTGTCCAATACCAATATTAACAAAAAAATCAAATCCTAATACAAATCATCATTTTTCACCAATAGATATATTTGCTGAAATTTATACAACGAAATTATTTGATCGTGTACGACGTAATAATGCAAAATTTCAAGAAAAAATTATACCATTTGATATTAATTTATTATATTCATCATTAGATGATGGAAATAATGTCGAACAAGATAATGAACAAAAACAAACAGAAATTTTATCATATAAAAATATACAAAATACAGTTGATATTTGCTTTTATATGGCAAATAATTCAATAGATTTTGAAGAACAAAATCTTAAAGAAATGATTCAAACCAATGTTATTGATCTTAAACGCATTTTAACCTTTTTAAAGACTTGTACTAAACTTAAATCAATTGTTTATCTATCTTCAATCTATGCAAATATTGGTAAATAGAATTTTTTTTTCATATTTATTAAAAATATCTCTTTTTTTTTTTGAAAATATTTTTTCAAGAATCAAAAGCGATGAATTATGACCAATATATTGTGCACTTTTCGAATATGATCTTAGAAATTTTATCTCAGTTATTATTTGAGTTTAGTGAAAAAAGAATTTTTCAACCTCAAGCAAATTAGATTGAACGGTGAACAAATAGATTTTTGCTAAGCTTTTTTGAAGAGACTGAAAAAAAAAAATTTGAGTTAATTATTTTGTCGAGTAGACATTTCTTTATAAAATTATATATTGTAATGATAAAGATGACAGGATTTACTTCCGAGTTACAAGAATTTTTCTATCTAAACAATTGATTATCTCATTGATTTCAAGAAAAGTTCTTAGCCTACATTGAAAAAGAGCACAAACTTTTGATTATGACTCATAGTCTTTGATTTTTCCGAAAAAAACATTTTAAAGATAGTCAAAAAATAAATAAACATTTTCTCTTAAAATTTTCAATTCATCTGTGAATTCAAGAGATTATAAAATTTTTATACATTATGAAATGTTGAGTTCTAAACTATGAATGTTTCCATTCCATTGATGATTGAAAATTCTAATCAGTTTTATTTTTCGTCTTATTATTGATATTGTTTTGATTTATTTAAGAGGTATTATCAAAGGGGAAAGTATAGGTTTGAAATCCCCAGCACTCCCGGCACTAACAAAATACTGTGGTGTACATATACTTAGGGCATACCAAAAGTACGGGCAGTGACACTTTAATACCGTATAGTAGGCTTAAATAACTTTCTTTCTATATAGTCTGATAGAGAAAAAAAAAGCGCTAGCTTTCTATGCTATTTGATTGTACTTCAACTAATATCATAATATTAAATTATCTATAAAGCCTATTTCGGCTGGTTGTACAGGGTTGCCAAAAATGTTTTNACCACCCCTTTCTCGAGGCGTTATAGTCATTTTACTAGAATTTGACCCTATGATATGGCATCTACCAAAAACTCAAACGAAGGTATTTTGAGCTGAAGTTTTGTCCACAGATAGGCCTACTTGTAACTAGAATGTCCTGAAAAATCCAAGTCAAAAGAATGTTCTCTTCATGAGATGTTGAGTTTTCAAAACACTTGACGTTCTCCAATCTTTTCGTAGAATACGAGTGATTTTGAAAATTGAATACTTCATGAAAGAAACATTCTTTCGACCTGAATTTTCCAGGACATTCTAGTTACAAGTAGGCCTATCTGTGGACAAAACGTCAGCTCAAAATACCTTCGTTTGAGTTTTTGGTAGATGCCATATCATAGGTTAAAATGTTAGTAAAATGACTATACCGCCTCGAGAAAGGGTTGGTAGCCAATAATATTTTTAGCTTTTGACCACCTCACTATACTCTATCGAATGATGTATGAATGAACTGAATCGGAGTTTGGCACCTGGATAGTGTCCCTCGTGGGTGAACATACAACAAACACTGGTTGTACACCTTCTTCGTTTCTACAGTCTGTGAGAATCTTTTGAATTAAAATGTTTAAAGATCTAAAATGTAAGATATTATTATTACTTACGTGGATGAACCAACCGTTAGATTCCGTGGAATGTCATGGATATTGAGGCTGACTGAGCTCAACTGTTTTGTTTCTGGATCTTCAGCTATCGGATGAATAATGTCCACGAAAAGAAATGGTGGCTGTCCATTAACAAAAGTTGCTGGTTGCACAGTTACCTTTTCATTACATTGCCAACCTTCACTATAATATCCATTTTAAATATTAACAATAGAATATATTACTTAGGGCATACCAAAAGTACAGGCAGTGACACTTTAATACCGTATAGTAGGCTTAAATAAATTTCTTTCTATATAGTCTGATAGAGAGAAAAAAGCTCTATCTTTCTATGCTATTTTATCGTATTTCAACTAATATCAAAATATTAAATTATCTATAAAACCTATTTCGGCTGGTTATGTGCTGGTTGTACAGGGTTGCCAAAAATGTTTTTTCATGGGGCGATCAGAAATCTTTTTTGACTGTCGAACTTTGTAGAGCTCTCTTTGCTGATCATTTTGGTAAAAAAATCTTTTGAGCGTGATCAATAAATAACGGCGCTAGGGTCAAAATACTGGAAATTTCAAAATCCTCTGGTTGATATAGCTAAGATATTTTTGAGTATTTTGACCTTAGTACCATTATTTATTGATCAAATTTAAAGACTTTTGTTAGCAAAATGATCAGCAAAGAGAGCTCTACAAAACCTGATAGACAAAAAAATTTCTGAGAAATTTGTGTTTTTGTGATTCACTACCCACCCATGTGAGTGTCCAACCACTTGAATCTGGCTATAATTCTATAGCCCATTCTCATCTTAAGAATGACGAGTTATACTCCTAAATTCCGTTTTTGACGGGCTTTCATTTGGTATAAAATTGAATGTTGATATCATTTATCGTTGAAGTTGTACCTCATGGAAAAACATTTTTGGCAACTCTGTACAACCAGCCGAAATAGGTTTTATAGATAATTTAATATTTTGATATTAGTTGAAGTACGATCAAATAGCATAGAAAGATAAAGCTTTTTTTTCTCTATCAGACTATATAGAAAGAAAGTTATTTAAGCCTACTATACGATATTAAAGTGTCACTGCCGGTACTTTTGGTATGCCCTAAGTAGTTTTGAAATTAGACTAAAAATAAAAGTGATAATGATGCTATTTCGATTCAATTTTTCCAATCAAGACAGAATGATTTTGTGCAACATTATTTAAAAGAACTATTGAAGTATACGAATAAAAATTTGAACCTCCAGCAGACGTTATTGATATTCTATCAGAGATCGTAGATAATTAACGTCTTACTATAATATATAAACTACATTCTTATTGCATTTTTGAATGCTTAAGTAAAAGAATGGTGAAGACATGTGTCCTAAAATAATTTCCCTGTGATTAATAACAGTAGTTTTATATAATGTTTCACATTTGAATCTTGCAGGAATTACACTGACTGCTTTTTCAAAAGTAGGAATATTTTTTATAAAACTTAGACGAAAGGATGAATATCCCTGTATTTCAGTTATTTTACAATATGGGATGCTGCCTAGTGACAGATTCACTAGTCCGATATATCCCCTACAACTAATACTAGTTATAGGTGTGAACAAAAAGTGTCAATCTTAGGCAGAGTTCTTGCGCTCTCCATACACCCTCACTAATCACAAGAGCAAATGTAGTCAGCATTCTATCAGAGACGAACTCTGTTTGTGATTTGTCTTGAATCATTTCATAGCTGGTGATACTGAGATTTGAGAATGGTATCTTGTAAATATCTACCGAACAACATCGCCGTTAAAACTTGGCTAAAGGTTTTTAGAGCCGATGAATCCAAAAAAAGCTAATCGTTATTTTCCGAAAAATAGTCTTGTCTTGATTGAAAAAATTATCTTGGGATATTATCATTCTCACTCATAACTATCATCGTAGTTCCTAGTCTAAACGTCACGTATGTATGAGTATCATAGCACTTTTCATAACTATCACACCCACTCCCTTGGATTTGATTGACATTAATTTTGCTTATATTTTTTGAAATGCGCTGTTCTTTTATAGTAGATTGATAATTCATTTTAGACATATCAATTATGATCATCCAGATGGATATTTAATGAAAAATTGAGAGCGTACTTTTTAATGGCTTTAAATAGTAGCAACATACACGCTGACATATGGAATATTTAATAACATAAAAATAAGGTTTTGTGAAATAAAAAAGAATGACATATCAGCTTAATCTACGAGAAAATACCTAAAGTGATATAATAGTATTTACTATGTGTTACTAACCGGATTTCCGTCTGTTTCTAGAGATGAAAAATTAAATTTATTATTGAAAATGA